AATATGGACTGTTTAGATCTATTATTTTTCACACATATTACATATTTTGTATGTGCTTCCTAATTAGTTATTTGCACTCTACACTTTATTTGCAGCATTATGAGCTATGAATGGTAAAAAATTACAGAATTTCAGGGATGAAAAGAGGGGGGGAAAAAGGGTTGTGGTTTTCACTTTGTCATGTTGCAGAGCTAAAGGTATGTAACTTGCAAGAAAACTAAGTATATATTTGAAACCAGCATAAAAAGTTCCATGAACAGCTTAAGTTTCATTGCTCTAGAGTGAATATTAAAAAAAAAGTGTCTTCGAGTAGCATCTCTCCTTAACTCCACAACAATGAGCTGCTTTCGTTTCTGCAAAGCGATGTACGCTTAACATGGTCTCGCACGACGATCGAGGCGGCAGCAATCGGCACCTCAGGGGTCTCAGGTCTGAGGTCGACGTGTCTCAGGTCTGAGGCCTAGTGCCAGCTATTAAAAGCGCGCATTAGGCTTAAAGCGGCATTACCCCACACACGTAGGCTTTTTTTCGGCGATAAGTCATACTAGCACGCTTTTCAGTAGTCGCCACATCGCCTTCGTTCTCTGCCAATGGTTACTAAAAAAGGCACGGCTGCAATCGCGCGGGACGTCGGAATAGTTTATCGGCCAATCCTGTGCTTTTGCAGCACTGCAAGTGTACAAGATGGCGACCATCACATAATTTTTGCTTACGATGCGTGCTGTAAACATTAATTTCGGTTAAAAAACTAGGCTGTGCCGCAGCAATGGAGCAAATTCGACAAAAAAAAAAAAAAAACACCCTTTTGGAGCATAGTGGGGCAATTGGCGCAGGTTTCTCACCACTGTCCTTTACATGGGTATTGTTGAATTGCCTCGCCATCGTATCTACTAGAATACCACAGAGTTATTTTCAGGCCTCATTCCTCCGAATATTATGCCCGCAAGCAGTTCTTTTTTGTTCCTTGCCTTTCTAAGTGCCATGGACATTGTGCAGACAGACCCCATCCCCAATGGCAAGCTGCACAAGATGATCCATCTACTGAGCACCCCCCCTAACTTTCTTTTTTGTGAAAAAAATGATTTTTATATAACTTTTGAAATTTACATAATTTGTAGCTTCAATGTAAATCCCGAATTATTTTTTACCTCATTATTTTTTAAGTTTTCCTTCTTTTAAAGCTTTATTGTATGATCACTGCACACACTTTTCATTATAAAAACATTTTTTCCTTAATGTGTGTATGAAATATATAGTTAAACCTGAATATAATGAAATTAATAAAATCCCAGAAAAACTCATTATAAGAGACATTCGTTATATTTAGGTTCGGTAGAAAAATTTAAAAATAAACATGCAAATTAAACAAAAGGAGGACTGAAGGCAGAGCTAACCCAAAACACTTACTTTTCAGTGAAAAAACTCTGTTATTATTGCTATAGCAATTGAATGGACACTCTCTGCGGGTTTCTGTCGTTGCTGCCATGCTCCTTAGCAAGTTCAAATTCATAACCTGCCCCCGCGCATTGTAACTTTCACAAGCGGGCAGAAGCACATGAGTGCTGCTGAAGCTGAGAACAAATGAGTCAGACCATCCCTATCGCCTGAAAAGTGCATAAGATAGCATCTCCCGCGTTAAAACTGCCGTTCAAATGCTCAAAGTAAACCACCCGTCTTGAACACATGAAACAACGCGGGGAGGGGGGGGGGGGGGGAATCGCTGGAGTAGCAATAATGAACGTGGATTTTAAAGGTGGTTGCGATCGCTCGCGCGCTTGCTATCTCAGCGAGCATCAGCGCAGTTTCAACGCGAAGGGGTGGTCTGAAAAGAGCACTCCACCCAGGAGCGGCCGTATTTGCTCACACCAGCATTTTGTAGGAGTTTCGCGATATCAGATCCAAAAGAGTTTGCTGCCAGCCTTACTTCTTATAACATTACAATTTTCTCATATCGCGTTCATTGCATTGCGTTCATCGCGCCGTCATGTTGCCAGAACTAATCGACCAATCACAAAAGTCTACCAGCCTGCGAGCTCGCGGCACGGCGTAGGACAGAAGCGCGTGACAAGTCGACCTCCGAAGATCCGTCGTCACCGTGGTCTCGGTGAGTTTCCATCAGCGCCTTATCTGACAACCCTTCGGTGGTGACGACACGGTTGTTGAAGTTAAGAAAAATCCCAGTTTTGCCGCAAGGGCGAAGCAATGAACAGCAACAGCTTGGAATGTAACGCTGAGAACGCCAAGCAGATCGAAGGGGGCAGCACGCTGCTGACGTGCACCATGTGCGTGCAGTGAAACTATGCACGCACGCACGGCGTCGAAAATGAAGAGTGAACGACACGGACACAGACATGGATACCGCGGAAGACTATTCAATAAAGCGCCCTGCATATACAGCGCGGCCCCACATATGTGACGCTTACTAAAAGCGTGGCACTGCCAATGCACAAAAATAGTTTTATTATTATTTTTATTTTGCTTTGGAGTGGGGGGGGGGGCACACTCGCGCATGCACCCGAGGAGATGAGAGTGGCGGCAACGTCGATTAATGCTGGCTTGTGGTGTGCAGGTATAGTGCCTAGAATAATAAGTATATTATAGGCACTATAGTGCAGACTCGCCTGCCCGCGTTGCACTCAACTGCGCGCAATAACCAGCGCTCGCTCTCACCTGGTACGCCGTGTGCACCATTCGTCGGCGGTGGGGCAGCGGCGAAAGGTGCATGCTTGTTTTTCTTTATTCTTTATTCAAAGGTTACCCCGCATTGCCCAAAGGCGTTACAGCAGGGGGGTAGCAGAAACGACAAACAATTCTTCATTCTTACAGCACACTTGCATGGCAGACAATTCATTCCACTCTTTAACAGTTCTAACAAAAAATGAATTCGCGGACAGGGGGTTACAGAAACGACATAAACAATTCTTCGTTCTTACAGCACACTTGCATGGCAGACAATTCATTCCACTCAACAGTTCTAACAAAAAATGAATTCGCGAACAGGTTTGTACGGGTGCGTAATTCTCTTATTTTAAAAACATGGTCAGTTCTAGATGAGCGGTAATGAGGTTCCTTAAAGTATCTTTCTTTATTAATTCCTGTTTTATCATTATATATCTGAAAAAAAAATTTCAGTCGCAGCTTTTGCCGACACGAGGAAAGCAGTTCCCACCCAAGCTCATTTTTCATCTGAGTGCAGCTCTCCCATCTCTTGTACCGTCCCAAGACGAACCGAAATGCCAAAATGCAAAGCAAAATTCCTAGATTGTCCGTGGGGAAAATTTGTTATATCAAGGTTGTCTACCACTGTTACTTTGTTACATAGAGGTCGCAAATACGTGTGCTTCTATGGAGCAATGGCAGGGAATAGAAAAATTGTTATATCAAGGAATCCTTTATATGGAGGTTTCGTTATAAACAGGTTTAACTTATATGCAAAGTTTACGTTATAAGAATTTAAAAGCTTGGTACCAAAGAATATAAATAAGACATTAGTGTTTAGCCACAAAGAATGTTTTTTATACTGTTGTGATTAGCCCCCATGTCTTGGCGCCGCTTGGACGTGTGAAAAGATTCCGACTTTTGCAGCTTTTTCTGGGGTGTCCAGAAGTGGCGACAACACAGCAGTAGTATACTGCAAATTCTTTAGGGCCGTCGGCTTGCCTTGCCAAAAGCCCTTTGGATACGCACGACCGACGGATTACCTAGAAGGGGCCGTTTGCTGTCTGGGCTGCCTAGAAAGAGTGGTCGCCTCTGTGTTGCTTGGGTGGTTGAAATGCACCTGACAATGAGCTGAACATTGGAGAACAATCTTCGGGGACGTTTCTCGCGTTCCAAGAGGCCTTTCTAGTCTTCATTTCTCGAGCACCACAGCCTGCCCGACAGCGATGCCACCTCGAGGAGTCATCTCTGCGCGTGAAACTCCCCGTTATTGCACTTTTAGTTGTGTAGTGTATTGTGTGCGTTTCTCCCTCGCCATGCGACCAACTGAGCCTCATTCTCTCTTTCCTGGGTTGGGAAGGAGGCGGTACTCAAGGGAACAGCACAAAAAACGGGATGGAGAAAGATTGAACAGACGACAAAAGCGCTGTTCAATCTTTCTCCGTTCCGTTTTTCGTGCTGTTCTCCTCAGTATCATGTACCAACTGGCCCTTCAAGAAACCCTTCTGTAAGGAGGCGGTGTTTCACTTTCGCTCTTCGGGGGCAGAAATGAAGATGACGATCTCATTGGACTATCCTGGCCTCAATTGTTTTCCCCGCAGGGAATCTTCGGGAGACCAGGAGATAAATATGCGAGCGTAAGACGCTCGAAAAAGCTTTTTTTTTTTTCCATATTGTCACGTGCGTCCCGCGAGAAAGATGAAAGCGACAGTGCATACCCGTATTTGCACGCTTTTATGCAGAACATAACAACGAGAGAGACGAGGAACTCTCTGGCGCAGGGTAACTAAAAAGACCGACCCGCCACTGCTTTCTCAGCGTCTTCAAATACGACCTCCGTCTTCGCGTCGCAACAATATAGTATCATGCTACCTAAATAATGTAAATATAAACGTTCCAGTTCTCAGCTCCGGCTCCTCGGTTCGTCTTCTTCCCCCTCACCCTTGGATGGCTCCAGGTCCCGACAAATTCCCCCAGTAGGAACAATAACTAGTAAAAACGGCCCATTTTTCCGGGTAACAAAAAAGTTAAGCCAATATAACAATAATAAAAAATAAAAGGTTGAGCAGCTAATTCTACCCATAGAGGCAAGCAGCATAGGCTAGTACTACAAAAGGAACCGTGGTCTTCTTGGTTGCATTTTGCGCAACTGCTATAGTTGCAGTACTTTTTTGCGGAACATGGAATAATAAACAAAGAAGTATAAAAAAGTACTTGAACACGCTTTTTTTTTTCATTGCTATTGCCCAACAAAAAGACACAAAATGCAAGAAACTGTTCAACTTTAACTTGCTGGCAGAGGCTCAGAGCATGGCTCCTCAGTGCCGATGTTTATACCTTACCTCTAACTGATGTGGTTCATCTACAATCTGCTGCACTTTCCTCCAGATTATGGTGGCAATTGTCATATCCTTGTCAAGCTCAAATAATGCTTTATGATCTTGTTTGACCTTTGCACAGCTGAAAAAAAAAATTGTTTTATTAGTACCTAAAATAATGTCTTGTTCATTGCAAAACATTGAAGCTTGATTGTTGCGAAATCGGGTCGCTAGTTTCATGCATGTCACCCCAAACATACCTATCAGTTATTGCTTTTACAGTTACTGCTGAACTTCTGCTGTGCATTTCAGGTACTGCAAACAATTTCTTTATGCTAGTTATAAAGGAATGTAATTATCTATAAAAGTATTATAAAAAACATTTTTCATAAGCCCTTTACATAGGCTCACAGATTTCTCAAATTCAAGCTTGCAAAATGACCGGTAGGTTATGCCTAATTGCGAGTACTACTGTTGTTACTGTGCGATTGCTTTCCAAACACTGCTGAGCTGCAAGGGCTAAGAAAAAACTTATACTAGAGAAATTTATACTGAATTGCCAGGGGAAAGTTTCAATGCAGACTCTCTGGCTGGATAATTTGATACAATCTCATAGTGTTATCGAAAACACAATGCCAGTGAAGACAGGAGCGAATAGATGTGCCTTTTCAACTGAACTTTACCAAAGAAATCAGCACCTGCACATGCAAAAGAACAAAACTAATACACACCTTGCAAATTAAAATTTTGCAGCGGAAAAAAAAAAGCAGGCAAAGCCAGCTCCTTTGCACTTAAATGCACATATTATATGGTGAGAAATGGTGAAAATAAAAAGAATACACATATACTATTGACAGACCCAAACACAATATGGGAGTTTAGTGTAAGTGCAGTTCTACACCAGAAAGAAAAGAGAGAAGAAAGATCAAAGTAAAATATTACAGCGAGGAAAAAAAAAGCGGGAGGAGAGCGGGGGAGCAGGCAAAGCCAACTGTTTTGCACCCAAATGACCATATTGTAAATGATAAATGGTGAAAATGAAAAGAATGTACATATGCTATTGACAGACCCAAACATAATGTTGGTAGGTTAGTGTAATTGCAGTTTTACACCAGACAGAAAAAAGAGAGAGGGAACAAAGATTACAAAAAATGCAGGTGGCATAGCACTACAGTAGACTCTCAGTAAACAAAAATCTGTTTAACGGAACTATTCCTTCTGCACTGCTTGGTTTTGGGCTTGTATTCTGTGCCCATGTTCACCTCTCAGTAAACGGAACTCCTGTTAAATGGAACATGTTTTCCAGGTCTCTTCAGGTTCCATTTCCTAAGAGTCTCCTGTATTGCTAAACATTGATGTCACATTGCAATCAATAGGTAAGTGATTTTTAGCAGAGTTTACAGTTACAAAGCAGAGTTTACAGTTACAACCACTGTTTTTGGTGAAGATGCAATAGCGTGTGAACACAAAACGGGTGCCGGTTCATGCTAGAATATGTTTGCCTCGAGATGTCTGCATTCACATTAATGTTTTCGAAAATTGCTGCTAGGGCAAGTTGATTCATGATTGAGATAGATTTACCAGTGCAAAAAGACGAAAAACATAACAAGGAATACACAGACACAGCGCTGTGTGTGTATTCCTTCTTATATGTTTCGTCTTTTTGCACTGGTAAATCTATCTTAATGTTTTCTCTCTGTGTGTGCGTCTATGTGCGTGTGCTTTGCCCATGCTTCTGCTCCTTGGTTGGGGCTTTTTATTGTGTTCATGTGTGACAGCCAGCCTGTTCCATGCGGGGCATCGCCACAAAATTTGTGTGCTACTCAGACACAAATGCCAGAAAAGAAATGACAATGAGATATCAAGAGTTCCTATATCTGCGACCTACAGCATTGATAGCTTTGCGAAATCAAGTTACCGTGTTTTTTTTTTTTTTTTTTAACCAACTGGGCTGCAAATTTAAACTCACCTGTGGAGCACCAGCTGAGGTGAGGTGGTCCCATAAAGCTCAATTTGTAAACAAAAAATTACAGTCGAAACCGGCAATAACGAGATCGCCAGGTAAACCGAAAAATTTCGTTTTCGCGAGAATTTCGTTGCCGCGAGTATGAGACATAAAAACAGTGATACGGCCAGCAGAACGAAAATTTATTGCCAGAAGTCGGTCAACTTACTTTTCCGACCCTTGCCATGCAACAACTTCAAAGCTCTCCTTTCGTACTGGAAAAAGTGGTCCAATGCTACGTCGTCGTCATGTGCGCCGAAGAAGGAACGAAGGGTGTCAAGCGCATCCAAAACAACCCGCGGGTTGTTTTGGATGCGCTAGCGCGTCATTCCTGCCCGCAGTCTCGCTGTCAGCGGAGTTAGGGCTAAAGCCAACTCAGATGACGCGCCGGGCTCGTAGACCGCGTGCTCGCTCGTAGTAATCTTATCGTCCATCCGGTGCGGCCACTCGTAGTAATCTGACCGTGCCGCCGCTTACAGCTTCGTTGCTTGCAACGAAGCACGTCGCCACGAGTGCGCTAGCACGTCGTTCCTGCCCGCAGTCTCGCTGTCGGCGGAGTGAGGGCTAAAGACGACTCCAATGACCCGCCGCGCTCGTAGTAACCTGATCGCGCATCCGCCTACTGCTCCTAACTAAAGCGTAACTATATCTTAAGTGATCATCGAGCCGTGAACACGTTACAAAGTAGCAATTTTCGAGAGCCGTTTCCTCGCAATGGACAAGCAGCAGACGACAATCTCCCGGAGTGAGCATTGGGCCAATGGGGAGGCGTGTTGAGGCAACATGGCGGCCACAGCCAATCAAAGGCCTCAAAACGACCTTCAAACATGTGCTTTTTGTGCACTTGTTTTTAAAGGGAGGAGCCAGCTGAGGCGGGAGAGTTAAACACGGAGAAATGCTCTTTCCGATGAGCCCAAGAATCGCTGCTTTCTCACGATTTCCAGAAAAAGTTCCGCTACCTAGGTGGGTGAAATAAATTTTCCGAAGCACTTCTGCGCGGTTTTCAGTGTGGATATTTTGGAATCGGATAGAAAAAGGGTTCCAGAAACTGAAAACTTGATTTAAAAAAAAAATCGAATTTTTCGTCATTTTTTCGCGATCCCAAAGCCACGTCCCTCCTGAAATAAACAAAAAAACAAAAATGGCGGTACCCACGCTAGCGCGGCAAAAGCAGACTTTTATAAATTTTGAGTGCGCATAACACGCATACGAGCATATTTTCGACAGTTAACCTCTGGCGGGAGGGTAAAATAAGGCCCGCATTGTGGTAGAAAGTTCGTTAATGCGGGATCGCTGTCCAAAAACACTTCGTTGCCGCGAGATACGTAATAAATGGGCTTCTATGAACGTTCGCCAAGGATTCGGAAATATTTCGTTGTCGCGGGAATTTCATACTCGCGGGGTTTCGTTATTGCGGGTTTCGACTGTACTGGTTTTTCATAATACTGCGGTATGAGTGGAAGTTGTTGCTGTTCAATGGGTGTGAACTTCATTTGGCTGCTGTAGTGATGATGCGTTTCCAAAACCTCATACGTACACCTTATTTGTTTCAATCCGCGACTTAAGGGGGCCGACTGGTCTTTGGCACCGAAAAGTGACAAAAAAATTCACTTTTAAAAATTGGCATATTTGGTTTCTGCAAGTATTTTTCTATCACTATGCAACTTTTTATCCACCAGGTAGTGGTAATTTTTTTGTAGTGTCATTCTGACCATCCAGATTCTTGGTGCTAGCACAATGCAGAACCAGCAAAAAATGGGGAACCTACTTCGAGGCTACTTTATAATTTGCCAGCACCTGTGTCTGAAGCCCTACTACCAAATTATGAGCGCCTTTATGAGCATTGCAAAATATGCACACCGTGATTGGTGTTTTTTGAAGAAACTGGGTGTTATCAGTTTTTTCCATTTCTCTCAGAAAACTAAATTTACGACTGTTCAGTTTTGAGGCCTCAATATCTCTGCAGCTGGGGTAGATACAATAATTATTTTTGCAATAGAAACCTGTACGTGCATAGAATGCAAGTATGGGAGCAGATATTAGAGCACAAGCCTTCTTAATTAAATACTCATCAAATTGAAACATATAAAACTGATTTTGAAAACAAAAAGTTCATTTGACTGTAAAATAATCAAGGCAAAAAAAAAAAACTCTTGCATACCTTTAATGTCTAGTCATTAGTTGGTCTATGTTGCCATATTTACATATCACTTTTATTTAATTACTTTTTTGTCTACGGTGGTTTTAAACAATAGGGCCAGAACTTAAGTTATCTCAGGAACAAAATGAGTTACAGGAAAAATAATTACATATTTGAAATCAGCAGAAAAAACTGCACAATCCTGTCCACTTTGATGAAGATCACTGAAAAAATAAACAAAAAATGTCTAATATGAGTCTGCCCCCTTGAGAATGCACATCCAGGCACGCAGCCAGAGGTTTTTTTTTTTTGTGTGTGTGTGTGTGGGGTGGGTCTGAGGAAGGTGTTTGCAAGGTAATCTTCGTGCCATGGGTGGTGGCAAGAAGAACTGCTAGGACTTGCTCCTTAAGAACACTGATTGATATGTGGGGTTTAACGTCCCAAAACCACCATGTGATTATGAGAGACGCCATAGACGCTCCGGAAATTTTGACCACCAGGAGTTCTTTAATGTGCACCCAAATCTGAGCACACGGGCCAACAATTTTCCCCCTCCATCAGAAATGCAGCCGCCGCAGCCGGGATTCAATCACGCGACCTATGGGTCAACAGCCGAGTACCTCAGCCACTAGACCACCACGGCGAGGCTCTTTAAGAACACTAGCAAGAGAGAGTAGGGATAGAGGAAAAGTTGGATTTCAGAGTAAAAAGGGTCTGGGCATGTCAGGTGCCCTCCTCAGGTACACGCCTACATCACTAAATGCTTCGCCTTCATAAGAAACTTAAATTTACTGATCATAATTGATAGTAATGTGTAGTCTTGATTTCAGGTGAGTCGTTGCATTACTTGGGAAAGAAAGTGGATCAGTTTCCTGTAATTTTCGATTGGCAGATACATGTGTTCATGTAAAGTAAATAAAAGTACCAACAGAATGTTCAGGCAAAACCTGTCTGGAACTGCATTATCTGGCCTTGCATCGCTTGACACTTGATTGCTGTCCACTGAGCAATGGTAAAATTTGTATCTGGGTATCACTGTTATGTCAAGCTGTGCATACATGCTCATGCAGAGTGCTCAGGTACAGATGCAGCATTGACGGGACACTCTGCGCTTCATTCTTACTGCGCATACATAGGGATTTCATCACTCCCACATCCTATAAGGTGTGGACACTGAGAACTGAAACATTTCATTCATGCCTCATAACCCGGAACAGTTTATCATCATACAACTGTCCAAGAAATGTCTTAGAAAAGTTTTCGTCTGTATAGGCTGTGTGCAGTGAAATACATTGCAGTTGCTTAACACAATAGCCATTCTTGTTCATGGTTGCAGGCCAACGAAGACAAAGTAAACAACACAAGTAAAATAAAAGCTTCCCTAGAGAGTCATGTACAGTGGCTAGCACGTGTTCTTTAAAAAAAATACCAATTTATTTGCTTTGTGAGATACCAATGAATTCAGTTGCTAGATTCATGAATACAAAAGCCAAATATACAGAACATGCAATAAATGATGACTGTTTTGTTTAGTATGAGTGTAAGCAAACTGAGCATCAGGCACATATTATAACACACTTTTATATAAAGAAGATCGAGGAACTCACTGTCTTTGGTTGAGCAAGTCTGTCACAGATTTGTAAATCTCTGGATCAGAGTAGATAATAGCTTGAAATAGGTACTTATTCACCACCTCCCAGGACAAACCATATTTGTTGAGGTCGAGTGTAACCTAAAAAACGAAAAGGAGTCTGCGTGAGACTTTACAAAAAATATTATATAAAATATCCCCCCCCACATCTTTCAGATGAGAACTTTTCTATATGACACGAAATATATCACACTTTCAACCATTTTTTTTCTTTAGCTTATGTCAGCCATTGCTCTTTGACCTCTTAGTTCTCATGTCCATGTTTGTGAACATGCCTTCAGCAAATTACAACAGCAAAGTGCCCATCATTTCAAAAATATGTGAAGCATATGTGAAAGCTATAATTTGTATTTATTAGCAATGTTTTTACATATTTGAAACTACAAAAATACTTTTTGTTTCTTTTCCACTGGAGAAATCTCGTGGAATAAAATTTTGCAAACTGCACTGCTTTTTATTGTCCACATCTTTGTTTGGTAGTGAACAGGTTAATTTGAATGTGCAATACATGTAGTCTATTAAATGGAAAATAACAAATATAAAATGGCAAGCCTAGTCTTACAGCTCACGGTATTATGTGCAGGATAATGATTCTCCCAAAATTCTGAAAACTATGTGGCACAATCTCCTTATACAATGCTGAAAACAAAGTGACTGACCACAGATGACCACCAATAATGTTACCCCCCGAATTACTGTTTTACTGACAATACATATATAATAATAATTGCCGAGGTTATGATTACAGGTCGTAGTGGGGGACACGGAATTCATTTCAACCACTTGGGACTTTTTAATGCGCACCTAAATCTAATAAGTATACACTTAGTCTTTGAGTTTTGCCTCAATCAAACTATGGCTGCTGTGACTCGAAATTAAGCCCAAGCTCTCGAACCCAGCAGTGCAACACCTCAAGTGCTAAGTTACCACAGAGGGTGACAATGCATTTACAGTTAAACCTGGATATAACGACATTGATAAATTCCCGGAAAAATTCCTTACAAAGAGGATTTTGTTACATGCAGGTTCGGTACGAAAATTTAAAATATAAGCGTGCAAATTAAACAAGAGAGGGAATGAAGGCAGAGCGAACCCAGAACACTTATTTTACAGTAAAATAAAAAACTGCATTATTATTTCGATAAAAATTATATGGACGCTTTGGAGGGTTTTTGCCGTTGCACCAAGTCCAAATTGATAACATGCTCCCGCGCACCGTAACATTCACGAGCGGGTAAAAGCGCGCAACCGCTGCTAAAGCAGAGATCAAACGAGTCGGCCCATCCCTATCGCCTGGAAAGGGCATAAGATAACATCTCTCGCGTCTTAGAACTGCCGTTGAATGCTCAAACAGAAAGTAGACCACACATCTAGAACCAGCATGAAATGAAACAACGCGGGGAGGGGGGGGGGAATCACTCAAGTAGCAATAATGAACGTGGATTTTAAAGGTGGTTGCGATCGCTGGCGCGCTTGCTATCTCGGCGAGTATCAGTGCAGTTTCAACGCGAAGGGGTGGTCTGAAAAGAGCACTTCACCCTGGAGCAGCCGTATTTGCTCACACCAGCATTTTGTAGGAGTTCCGCGATATCAGATCCAAAACAGTTTGCTGCCAGCCTTACTTTTTATAACATTACAATTTTCTCATATCGTGTTCATTGCATTGCATTCATCGCGCCGTTATGTTGCCAGAACTATTCGACTAATCGCAAAAGTCTACCAGCCTGCGAGTTCGCGGCGCAAGATGAAAGCACGCGACGAGTCCACCTCCGAAGATCCTTCGTCACTGTGGTCTCGGCGAGTTTCTATCAGCACCTTATCTGACAACCCTTTGGTGGTGACGACACGGTTGTTGAAGTTGAGAAAAATCACAGTTTTGCCGCAAGGGTGAAGCAATGAATAGCAACAGCTTGGAATGTAACGCTGAGAACGCCAAGCAGATCGAAGGGGGCAGCACGCTGCTGACGCATGATGACGTATGAAAACATACACAGGACGAGAGCGTACTAACAACGCTGACCGCTCGACACTTAATGCGCTGTTTAAAGAAAAATGAGGCACAAAACATAAACAAAGGTACAGATATAAGTGCGAACTCACAAATGCCCCAGTTGTTACTTCGCGGTGTTTGAAAAGCGCAATCTTTTCGCAAACGGCGCCTGTCCAGCGAGCAAAGTGATCTTTGTATGCTCGGCAACTAAATGCAATCGTTCTACTCAACGTCAAAGGCGCGCGATTCTTCCCATCGAAGGATAAGCGCGCGCGCACAAGCATCCAACTCCCCTCCCCCCCATTCGCGGAACAAAGTACGTGTGGAAGATAAGCGCGCGTCGGCGCATCGTGACGAGCTGAGCGCTGAGCACGGGCGACTTTTTTTTTTTTATTTTTGCATTTTCATTTATAGATACATATATATATACGGTGAATGACAGCGGCAAAAGCAAAAAACCAGGAGACTGTTCGTATAATTGCTATCGCAAAAAAAAAAGCAAAGCTGATCGTCGTCGGGGCCACACCATGGGCGCGCAGTGAAACTACGCACGTGCGCACGGCGTCGAAAACAAACAGTGAACGACACGGACACGGATACGGCGGAAAACTATTCAGCAAAGCGCCCTCCATAGGCACTCGCCTAGTGCGCCATGCGCGCCGCCGTCGCTTCGTGCTATGGCAGCGGCGGGGAAGCCACGGAAGATGCATGCTCGTACCAAAATGTGGAGCAAAATTCCTAGATTGTCCGTGGGGGCAAATTCGCTTTATCAAGGTTGTCTCCCCCTGCACCTTGTTATACAGAGGTCGCAAATACATGTGCGTCTATAAAGCAACAGTGGGAAATGGCAAAACTCGTGCAATATTGTGCAACAGCAATATCGAGGAATTCGTTATATACAGGTTTGTTATAAGCAGGTTTAACTGTACAGTCAAGTCTGCAGATTTCTTGGACATCTGCTGCTGATTTGTTTGAAAGTGGACACTTTCACAAAACCACAACAAGCCTCGTGAAGTCCAAGTGTGTCTGACATTTCGAACGCTGACACTTTTTGGTGTCTGAATTTTGCAAAGACTCTTCACCCTAAATTCAGTGTCTAAAATCCCTTTTATAGACACCCAAACACTATTGTTGCTCTTATCTCGTATGCTTGAACCAGCACTTTGGTTCATCAGTATATCTGTTTGAAGCATATTTGAAAAGTCAGCTTTGCTGCAATGCCAAAATGCTAAGGGCAAAGCATACAATGAATTTTAAAGGGTCATTGACATGGCACAGTGGGGCGATGCTTTTACATATAAGCACTGGCAGAGTATGGAGTTATGGCAGCAGGAGATGAACGCACTAGTGCCATTTAATCACTGACAACCCATATATGATAAGGTCAGCTAACTGCTTGGTAGTGCATGTGTCTTAGTGCAGTTGTAAGCATACTGCATACTTTTAATAGGAGACAATCGAAGTGTTACGTTCTGCCATTCACTGCTGCTTCTCTGTGCAAGACCACTAAGTGCACCATACAGACATGTTGCTTTCAGGAACGAAAGCAGCTTGCTGGTGCTGCACTTGTGTAAGGTACAGAAAGCTCTCCAGCAATGAAGGCTTAGTAGGCAACGTGTTGTGTGCAGCTATGAACAATCAATCAGCTTCAGGCACGAACAAATGCTGCGTTTCAATAATGAGCATAGATTTTTTTACAGTGGCTCATGGTTAGCATGCGCACAGGCATCAAAATAAGCTAGACGAGTTCTTTGTTGTCTCACCCTAGCATTTGACATTACCGGCGCTCGTTGCGAATTTGCAATTGGAGATTGGCACAACATAGGCAAGATTCAGTAAAACTTTCAGTTTACCTCGAAATAGGCAAGGTTCCCAGCAGGTACTGAGCAAAATCACAAGAAAATGCGTGAGCCCAAAAGTGCCTGACAAGTGTACTGGCAGGCATTGAGAGCTATTTCGAACATGGCCTCAGAAAATTGACCACTAGAGCAAAGTAATAAAGCGTGGATAGATTTTCTCAGACTGCCCGAATTTTCTAATTATTTCGCAGTCCCTAGGGAAGCAATACCAACAAATTGGACATTTAGGCATTTTGAATTGGCACAGTATTGTTCTGAGTCATATAGAGCACTTCAAAATGTTGTTCTTGGCTATATGGAGCATTTAAGAAAAATTTTAGACTAGCGTTATTTTTATTGCTGCAATGTGTTGCTCGGGGCTCTTTAGTGATAACACAGCACATCGTTTATTGCCACACGCAACAGAGAATTAATTATAGGCTTCTCATTGTTGAGCAGTCTCTAACAGTAATATATAGGGTTTACATCCCAAAACCAAGATGTGATATTAAGAGACGTCGTAGAGGAGGGCACCAGAAATTTTTGCCACCCAGCATTCTTTAACGTGTGCTGACATCGCACAGTATATGGGCCTCTACCATTTCGCTTCCATTGAAATGTGACCGCCACCGAGGCTGGGATTGAACCCGCGACCTTGGAATCAGCAGCTGAGCACCCTAGCCACTGATCCACCGAGACGGATTACCGACCAGGAGCCAAACGAAGGGGAACGAGTGAAGATTAGACATATTTGTGTACTACACATTATTCAAATGCTGGCTGAAGCGCCGTGTGTTGCAGCTGCCATATACACTAGCACCAAAGTTTACTCTAGTGTACTTATAGAAAACTCTATGCAATGCTTGACCACGTCAACGCACAGAACTGTGAAGCGTTTCCGCACAGTACGCATCAAGAAGTCTGTTAGAACAGACTTCTTGTCTGTTTCCTGTTTGGCGACAGCAGTGTCGCCAAACACAAAACGTGCACAGGGGCCACGAACTCGTGAGCAGCCGGGGAGAATAAACTTCAGATGAAGGAAAAGCGGCTAAGGAAAAATGACACCTATTACGTCATCACAACATGTATTGACTGCAGCATAGTGACATGAGGGAAATAGGGAGGTCACCGTGAGTCAGAGTTACTGAATAATAATAAGAGTTGCAAAACTCCCCAAAAGCTCCATGTATCGAAATCCAGACACGAAATCCAGACACGTCCATGTATCGAAATCCAGACTAACAGGATTGTCCTGCACTGAGGGCTTTTGTCTCAGAATCCATGAAAAATACGCAACCCTTCAAAGATGTGCTCAATATCAAACATCATTATTAGTGTTCGGCAACACCTTCAGTTCAGTTACACCTGGCCACAATGTTTGATGAAGTGTAAGCTACACGCCTTCCAAGCTTCCGAAAACGTCAGCCGACCACACAATGCTCAGTGGAAATATTTTTAGTGTAAGCTATGGAAATAATATCGTAAAGTAAAGTAAAGTAAGCGGCATCAAGTGCTTCCCAGGCTCTTAATGAGAAATGTGCGCAAATTAAGCCACATTAGTTATGTGAGTGACTATTCTTCACATGCCAAACTTTGATGTTAATATTAACAACTGTTTTGTGACGGAATAATAAAATAGCTTTATTTACACAGATATATATTTGCACAGCAAGCTATATTACTTCCCTGTTTCAAAGATCACAAAAAAAAAATTGCAAGAGTTTCTTGCCAAAAATCAAAACTAATTTTGGCTCATTTCTCATAGTATTGTGTCTGCCAAACCTCTACACTAGCTGTCAGCAACACCATGAGAATCTCTTATATCAAAGTTCCATTTCACAATAATTAAATATATTGAATGAAAAAAATTGGGTGACCCTTAAGCTTTGCCTTGAAGAGTTGAACACAATAGTGTTATCCTGTCCCTAGTGCAATCTTCAACCACTTAGTGCATACGCTTCATTGTACAATGTTACTCGAGAAGCTTAAATTGAGGATTACTATAACATAATCACTAAAGTTGAAAGTGGCTTGTATCAGCAAAACTTTCACATATGGCTGCATTTTGTGTAATGGGCAGCATGCTTCAAACCATGAGAAATGATACTCTTGAAATCTTTTTGAACTTGCTTAAAGGGGCCCTGCAACACTTTTTCAAGAAGCCATGGGACAGATTCACTAAAGAAGCTTATTGCCTCATGAATTCAGTGCCGCAAAAATGTTTCAAATCCGTCCAGTAAAAGTGGAGTTACGAAGATTTGTCACATGCTGCAATTGCATTATTTTCTCGTACCGATGAAAGCACTGGAAGCTAAGCAGAGAGAAATGGCACGGAGAAAGACATGTCACGTGCACCTTGCAGTGATGGAAGCGACATTTTGATTTCTGGAGCAGATTTTGGAGCAGAAAAAATGGTGCTTTGGAGCAGGCTCAAGTGTCTTCGGAGCAGAAAAATATGCTACAGCTTAGGGTTCTTATTGGTGTTTTCGGAGCAGATGCATGTTCCTAACGACTCTTGAAGTCTAAAATATGATTAAGCATCTAATAAATATTTATATTTATTATTAAACAACATACCATATGCTAGTAGGCAGCTAGTGTACAAGCAGTATAGTTGGCATAAGTCATGGGCAGGGGGGTGGGGGGGGTGGAGAGAGTCTGGACTTTTCTGGTGTTCAGGCTGCGGAGGACACCCCTTGCAAGTGTCCCACTTGAGATTTAGCTTTAGCACGCGATATAATGGAGTTAACAGTTATGTTCAGTACAATCAACTTATTAAATGGCTTTTTATGTTTGTACCTGTGTAATGCCCCTCAGCTGTGTGAACTATGGAAACCAAAAAAAGGTGAAAAAAAGAGACTGAACAGAACAATGCCATTACTCGAGCTCGGACCCCATGCTCGTTTTTTTATTCTACTCTACTGCTGCCTTCTTTCGAGGAAGACAGCTTCCTCGAACATCTAAACTCCATCGACCAAGCGATACAGTTCACGGTGGAACGAGAGCGAGACGGGGCGCTTCCGTTTCTCGATGTTTTAGTCAGACGACAGGGCGAGCGCATGATCTTTTCGGTGTATAGAAAGCCAACTCACACCGGCAGGTATTTGCATTTTTCATCCTGTCATCCAACTGCCCACAAAGCTTCAGTGGTTTCGGCACTCCTCTCACGTGCACGAGTAATCTGCACGTTGGAAGGTGAGAGGAAGAAAGAAGAAAAGAGGATTGTCGCCGAGCTACGAAGGAATGGCTACAAAGAAGCGTTCATCCGCCGGGCGTCACGCCGTTTGTCGAGACGACAACCACCGCACCGCGGAAAGACACCTGCAAGCGACACACCGCCCGACCCCCTTTCCGCCCTGGCCACACCACCGCACACGAGAGAAACGAAGACGCCGAACAACCGCGTCGCCATTCCATATGTGCCGGGCATAAGTGAACAGCTCTCGAGAATCCTAGGAAAAGCCGGGGTCACGGTAATCCATAAACCTGTTTCGACGCTCGCGCGCTTGCTACCGCGGCCGAAAGACCGACTTCCGAGGGAGCTACACCCGGGCGTTGTCTACAAAGTGTCGTGTTCTGGGTGTCCAGCCTGCTACATAGGTGAGAGCAAGTGTTTCCCGGAAAGAATGCGCCAACACAAGAACGACGTCAGGAAGATGGAAGTGCAACGTAGCGCTCTGGCGGAGCACTGCGAGAAGCACGACCATAAAATTGACTTAGACGGCGTTTCTGTTATTGAAACAGAACGGAATTTGGGAAAGAGGCTCTTGCTCGAGTCTTGGCACATTCAGCATACGCCTGCCAACGTGAACCGCTCGCTGGGAACAATGCCTTCGGTGTACGTTCACGGTCTCCGAAACGTGGTGGAAAGGGAAAGCCGGAGCCGTGGTGAGAGAACACGACGCGACGACACTTCCATGACCAAGACAGTCACCCCCTGAGGAAGGGACCGAGTCGGTCTCGAAACGTCGGGCTCTTTTTGAACTGTGGCTGGAGCAATTTCAATTTTCTAAGCTTACTTTTGGTTTCACTTAGAATCACGGGATTGTTCTCATGGTTAAACTTTATTTTTTAAGTTTTCCAACATCCTTTCAGAGCAGGTTTGGAGCAGTTACTAGCAAATATTGCACTTTGGAGCAGCATTTCTCCTTTGGAGCAGTTTGGAGCAATTGGAGCAGCACTTCCATCACTGACCTTGTGACCTTGAGCACTTCTCACTCTCTTTTTTTCAAACGTGCGACTTTTCAGTGTGATCGTGCGTACACTTGGACATGTCGTGGACTCGCGTGGTGGCCTTAGTCACTACCGGGTGCGGCATGCTCAAATCACGCAATGGCTGATACAATGGCTGTGACGTGTGATATCTTAGCTCGTAGCATAACTTTTTCAGAGAAGAAAATTGAATGTTTAAGTGACCTTGGGAATTCGCGAATTCCAGGCCATGTGCTGTTCTATAATATTTGGTTCGGTGTTCTCAGGAGCCTCGACTACCGATCGGCACAGTTTTCTGACTTGGCTCATAAAGTGTTGAAGGGCCCCTTCAAGGGAATACATGCAGTAACGTGTGTGCTTTTTGTAATGGGTAACTGGCTTTAAACTACGAAGTCATTATAATAATCACATGTTCTGATGCCCGATCGCAATGCTCTTTCTCTGGCCTTCACTAGCCCTCTCGTGTGCCATGTAAAGGCATGCCTGTACGCTTAGTTTAACAGTCCTGCATTATGTAAATAAATCGTGTGTTGTTTGTGTGAGAAAGCAGCCTCCCAAAAGTTTTTCCCCGGTGCCTGTGTTGCCGCCTGTGTCCCGCTAGTACTGTGCAATATTACTGTGATATTAGATGTTGTATTGTGAAGCCTGTATATGGGACACAAGCGTTTGTAAAAAATGAACGTTATTTTCACTGCATATCCAAGCTGACGAAGTTACGTCAACTGTTTTTGCAAGCAGACGCGTAGCTGTGCGGTAGAACACCTGTTTGCCACACAAACGACCAGAATTCGATCCTCCTGCATACCAGAAAATTCGCATTATTTTATTGGCATCTTTCGTGATTTTTCGGTCACACACAAAATGATGATTTTTCACTCCCAACTAACGATGGTGGCACCAGAATTTCAGCAAAACGAGCACTCTAATGCTGTCGCGTTAGAAGTGCACAACTGGTCCCTGGCTTGATAATAAAAACAACAATCTCATCAAGTTCACCCAGGTGTATATTTAGATGCTGTCCATATTAGTGACAAATGTGCTCCCATGTCATGACAGTTCGTGGAAACACTGAGCATTAAGAGGACACCGAAGTACATTACAGCTAATGAGGAGAAGGGAAGGAATCTGTTGTTACATTTACAATACAACACAGAAGAAATGAGTGCAACAACAAGAGAACCAGAAAGTGCTCCAAGAAACTTAGCGATAAAGCTTGAAACAGATGAAAGGCCTGGTTTCTATGACAAGACAGGCATACCAGTTCGTCGAGCAGGGGGTTCAGTCCTTCCCAGGCAAGTCGCAGCTTTGCATACTCTGCTACAAGAGCTTCTTCGACCTGGGACCCAGTCACCAGCTCGCGCAGTATGCGCAGGCGTGACCCTACTACAAACTGTTGAACCTGGTACTTGAGGCATTGAAGCAGGTGATGAGAGTCTTTGCGGCGTAGGTGCGACACCATGGCACGCACTTCAGCATCTGATAGAGATGGCTGGTCATCGCACAAGGAAGACACACACATGCTCCCTAGTCCTGCCTTCTCGTATATTCGTTGCAATGTCCGCTTCACCCCTATCCAGCACAAAACATCCTTTTGGTCTGTATCTGGGTCAAATAACCTGCAAAACATACCACAAGTGTTGCTGAATACTGAAGTAACACCTGAAGTGTTTCGTAGCAAAATTTTGCACCAGTCAGATAATAAACTTATATCTATAGTCAGTGCATAAAAATTATTAAGGGTCACTATTTGAAACACACCTGAGGGAGAAGCTTATTCTGAAACTCTGTTCATCCAATTTTCATTATTCTTTTGATTCTTCTGCAACAGCAGTGAGTTGTTGAGGAAAATAACTTCCAACAACAATTAAAATACATGAGCTTACAGCAAGAACAGTCAAGACAAACTGCATTAGTAAATAGTGTTGATAGTGACATTCAGAGGTGGAACAGGGTACATGGGTTTTAGAGCAGTCCTAGGAGCAGGCAAAGGTGCCATTTGTAGCAGGCTTGCAGCGTACAGTGACATTTTGGAACAGACTTTGAGCAGCTAGAAAGGCGTTTTCGAGCAAGTTTGAAACAGTGAAAGAAAACGTTCAGGGCAGATGCAGCCCCATTTCCCAGCACTTGTGAGGCAACATTTGCCCAATGGTGCATTTTTCAAACACTAAGCTAAACTGTGCAACCGCCTTGCTATTGTGATAGCAGTTATACGGCTACTCTGGACGTGTTTCTGTCGTCGGATCCCATATAAAGTCCAATCGTATGTTCTACCCACGGGCAAAAGTGCATGAGCGGAGGCGAGGAATGCGGCTGAACAGAGATGAAGCAAGCCAACCTATCTCCGTTACTCGGAGGACACATGTGAAAACATCACTCCTCTAGAGAAGCCTGCCTTAAAACGAGAAAACATCACACTCGTTTTAAATGAGCATGAAACGTTACAAAGGGAAAGGGAGTCATCACTTGAGCAGCAACCGTGAACTTTGCACCTAAGGGTGTAGGTCCCGATCACTGGCATGCGCGCTAGCTTGGCAGCCATCAGCGACCAGCTCACTCATTGCAGCCATACACTGGCATGCGCGCTAGCTTGGCAGCCATTAGCAACCAGCTCACTCATTGCAGCCATAGCGCTGATAAGCTAGGACCACAAAAAGAGGATCGGACTTGCATTTTGTCTGAGTACTCATTCTACATAGACCGGGAGGGTGACATTCCCCGCAGTTCTGACGGCTTGTAGCACCGGAGAGTGCTGCTTCTTTGGTTTTCAGTGCACAGTCTAGGAATGATGTTCCACAAAATTTCGGTGATCTAACCCGCAAGCAGAAAGAATTGCCAGGCAGCTTTGTCGCCTTTTTTTTTTTTTGTACGTGCAAAAATATGAATGCACTGGTACAGGAAGCCTTAATAGATCGGTGTCAAGCACTGCCAATCAGACTTCGGGATTTTGCATTAAACTGTAGCCTAATAAAGGAATAATGCCAGCAAACAATAGCTTCCCCTCATCGGGTAGAATCTGCGCTCTTATTCAAAATGTACTCGGAACAAAATGCAAAAGAACCAGCTTGTGAGCAAGTTGATTTGTTACATACCTTTCTGTGGTATCTTTTTCTAGGATCTCTTTCTGTGGTCCCTGTCTTGTCAGCGCTATGGCTTTGATGAATGTAACAAACCAACTAGCCCAAAAGTCTGTAACCTAGGGATGCATACAACTCCACGTGCTGCGCTCTCATCGTGAAGAGATTGTGTGAAAAGTGTTGCTTTGTTGGCGTAGCTGTATTGTCTCGCACCAGTGTTTTGTAAAGCTACATGAAATAAGATCCAATAGAGTAAGCTGCCAGCCTCTCTTCATTTGCTGCAATTGCCTTCCTTGCTTACCCTTTGTGGTAAGACTGCAGCTATTTTAGCTTTGTACATTCACCATTTTTTTTTACTTGAACGTGAGAGTGCCAACTGCAAAGTCGATAACTGCCATGTAATAGAGCACAGTGGCAAAATGAACGACAATATACGCATGCACTTGATGTGTAGTCCTGTGCACCTTTCTTTGCTAGGCTGTTGCGAGAATCGAAAACCACCCCCCTGCTTTTCAGCACCGTTACAGCCATATTTTTTTGTTATTTTCTTAACGCTACCATCAAATTAAAAAAAAATTTGTTTCATCACAAGGGCAAAGCAATGAATTCAATAACAACAGATTGTGATGTTGTATGAAGCAAGGCTCGCAATTAACACTTTTGGACTCCATATCACATAACTATGCAAAACGCGGGTGTAAGAGAGTACAACCCCATCAGGAAGAAATGCTCTTCTCACAGTCTCTTCACATTGAGCGCATAGCAGGTAGAAGGGTTTGCAAGCCATTCGCACAGATGCCTGGAGAGATATAGTGTGTGAGCACAACCACACCCTTACAATCAAAGCTCACAGCTGCTGCTCGAGCGATCACACGCTTACAAAACCGAAACTATAACCATTTCGATGAAATCGAAAACGCGATGTTTCAGCCACACTTTCGGGCACGGGGCTTGATGGCTTGTGCCCCTTGCAGCTGAATTCGGGTGCTGCACTGGAATACGGCGCTGATAAACGAGTTTGGCACAACAGCGGTGGTTCGGCACAGGATTTAGCAAATAAGCAAGTGTTTGGTGCACAATGGCACAAGTGGCGCAGCTGTTCTATTCCTGCACATTTTCACACATCCCAGAATAAACTTTCAGAACACTATTAGTTTTTAAGGTGTTGGTTATTAACAGTACCATATGAAAGCCACCGTACCGCCAGGGACGTAGCCAGAAATACTTTGCAGGAAAGGGTTCAAGAAACCTTTACTTGAGTTTATATGTCTGTATGTATACATGTATACCTTACTCTGGTTAGACCAGTGTTAATTACATAAATGCCAAGTAGATACACATACAATGTTTGTTCCAACACGAAACATACTGGTGAGCACATCATGAGTCACACAGCTCACCAATACCAGTACCTAAATGGAAACAAAGTTGCCTGGAGATAGGGACATTTGTTTAGAAAGGAAACTTGTGTATTTTTTACTGCATTAGAATGCTGCCATTCTCAAAGAGTATTGATGATCCAGTAAAAGGCGGGATGGTTTGATTTGCTTAGACTCTCATCAATAACCTTAGATAAACAAGAAAAAAATGTATTAAGTGAAACTTAAAAGGGTAGCTGCTGCTTTGAACGTGTACATTGCTGTCACGTTGTAGTGTAACCATGTTAAATGTCACCTCATTAAGGAAATGACATTTTAGGGAAAAAAAAAGGCCACAAAAATTTCGAATTCAGACCCTAGCAATCTTAAGTTTGAAAGGGTAGGGTCTTTTATTGCAACAGCAATTACAAATGCGAATATGCTGGTGGAAAGATTTACGAAAAAGCATTTATGAATGATGATTCATGAAGTATATAGAAGAAAAACTGTCAACGCATTCCCACCGTTCACATGTTTTTCTGTGGATGCGAAGCACGAAAAATTAGAATGCGATGTCCAGAAGTAGACGTAACAGACATTCTGGCGGCACATGCAATTATTACTGAAAATTGCTTTCATAAAAACTTTGCAAAAGAGCTACATCAGCAGCGTTCCTGCAGTGGACAAAGTTTGCTAAAGAATCGTCGTCATAGTTTCATGCTACCTATTGAACTAGACGTGAGCCCCTGTGGGGAGCGCGTTTCCGCCATTAAAGGAACACTAAAAAGCAAAACGCTTTTTCGCACATTCGTAAAGTACACTTTCACAATCCCGAAAACACTACTCTTGCCACTACACGACACTTGGTAAGCAAGAAAACACTCGAAAGGAAACTGCGAGTGGAGACACCACCTTGAGATTCCCGCACCGCTAGGACCGTGGCCGGGACGACGCAACTCCAAGACAAAAGAAATGTTTTATGTGCCTGTGCTAAGCAGTCAACGTGGTTGTTGGCAATGGCGGCATTCGCAGAACGGCCGAAATTGTTTGGTCGAGCATACGCTTCCAACTTTAGTTTGTTACAAGCCATAACCACATTTTCAAGCTCGGAAATTTCAGTTCCCGTGAAGCGCTGGTAACTATAGCAACACATTTCCATCTTCAAGTTCTTTCGTCCCGCTGATAGGTATCCGCTGCGGTCAGCAGACCGATGGGCACGCAGCGTTGTTACTTTATCGAATCAATCACACCTCCCGAGCGTAGGGCGGGTGCCTACAAAATTTTAAGTATATATTCTAGGCACTATAGTTAGGGGTCTGTGTGCTTTGAATGATAGCACTAATTGCAGGTGGCCGACATGGCCTGCATTTCTCGCCGGAATTAGTGCACCTGAGAAAATTTTGAGGCTGGCTAAGCATTTTGGCACAGCGTGGCACAATTTCAGTAAATTTCACGGTTTAGTCGCAGCTCGGCACAACTATCGGGAATTGTGTCAAATTGGTGCAATTGGTGCAGCTGTTGACTGATGTGAGTGATTATGACTAATGGCCCTAAGAACAAACTGCACATGTTTTGTCGCACTGGCACGCCTATTGCCGGTGATAGATACTCCCAAATCCGACTTTGGTGCAGTTTGGCACAATTTCCGTTGATATTATCAGGATGGCGCAGCAAACCTGATTTAACGCACTTTGGTGCAGTTGGCACGGAAGCAAAATCACTGCCTTTAAGCACAAGCTTTAGTGTAGACATTCCCTGTGCCCTTTATGAATGCACATATTTTATTCTGTTTGTTGCTCAAGAGGTGACAATGAAGACAAACAAACAAACATGCTGATTAGCATCAGAACATTTCTGCTCCAGCTCATCATCTAGGAAGTACATGCTATATCTTCCCCTCATCATGATGCCATTAGGAGAAGTGACCACAGTGATGCATTACATTTATGCCCATGACTTTAAAACTGGTAAAGCTGGGTACTTATTTTTTGCCCCTCAGAATGTTCCTAGCAAAAATTGTACTGACAGGGCATTTCTGAAAGTTTATGGGGCCAGAAACACCTTGAAAAGAGAGATTCGCCATTTTTAAAGCTGTGATAGAAACTGTTTCCTTCAATTAAACAGTGACCTCCAGCTTAAATACAGACATTGTTTGCAAAGGCCTTGATAAGCTTTCAAAGAGTAGCATAATTATGAGCAGTTACAAACCTACTAAAGCAGCATGTAGAAAGGAATATCACAGATTAAGGGCCCAGAACAAAAGGCAGAAGACAAGATACCTTTCTGATACCATGTGACATATCAATGCGCAAAAAGAAATCCATAGTTTCAATCCCAATGTGCAATATACAACAATGTATATTGCACATTGTGCAACAATGTGCAAAAAACACAATCAAAAAAATATTTTACAGAACTTTCGAAGGTCCAAGTCCCAATGTGCAATATACAACAAAAAACACAATCAAAAAAATATTTTACAGAACTTTCGAAGGTCCAAGGTTTGGTCCCTGCCCACGGCATGTTATCTTTTCATCCACTTTTCTTTCTTCATATTTACATCGCAATTACCTCCATATACCATCCCCTATACTTTTCTTTGCATGATTGTTAGATCTCATTAACATTGTGTCTAGAAAAGAAAGACGAGTCCTTAAATGTACACTATTTTCCTTGATTCATAGCGAGGGTCTCGTTCTGGCAGATTTTGTGCCTTCAGGTAGTGCACGAGGGAGTATTGGTCAGCTGCCAGCTCGTAATAAAATCATGTGCTACGTGACGCCAAACAGACAGAAAAAGAGTTTCCCGCACTCGCCGTCATGGCTATAATCGGCACTGTCTAACACTCCCACGTTTATTTCACATAATAAAGTGGACGAGGGGATAGCCGCCATGGTAGTTCAGTTGGTAGAGCATCAGACGCCTTATTCGGAGGTCACAGGGTTGGTCCCTGCCCACAGCAAGTTATCTTTTCATCCACTTTTCTTTCTTCATATTTACATCGCAATTACCTCGTATAACATCCCCTATACTTTCCTTTGCATGATTATCTGTTAGGTCTAATTAAATTATTAATATTGTATCTGACAAAGAAAAATGAGCTCTTATTAAATGTACACTTTTTTCCTTCAGAAATAGGGGAGTGACATCAGGCACAAAAGTGTAGGTGGACTTCCATCAAGCCACCTGGCTTTGGAACATGTACAGACAGTTAGTTGGACATGAAACAGAGGAGCACACTACATTCGGTTTATATTACCTCGGTGACGCCCATAGGCCGGCAGAATACATGGATACTCTCTCACACTCATTCACCAATTCTTAACAAGCATGAGCAGGAACTTGCCTACACTCATGCCCGATCATGCTTGCCATACACACATTTACAGTTTAATAGTTTAATCCATTGACATTAACAAGCACCCACTCATGCTCACCCATATATTGGTTTTTTAGTATGAGCGGGCACTCGCAATAATGGCCGTCCCATTTCTTTACATTCACACTTTCTAACAGCCACTTTTACCCACCAATAATCACTTGCATATGCAGTCGCTTACATTCATCACTAAGCACCACTTAAAGGTCACCATCAACAATTCCTGTCAAAAATGCTAGAAGGTTAATTAAAAAAAAACCGGGCACATGAATATGAGCGGACAAAAGCGCTTCTCTTTCATGTGCTCTCATTCACATAGCCAATTTGTTTGTCCTTTACCTTTAAGCATCGTGGTGAACCATTTAGCCCAAACCATCATCTCTCTGTTCATACTCATGTAAACCAGCATTCACAACTGCACACACTAATGCCACTCGCAACCTTTGTAAAACACTAGCACTATATCACTCCTGTGAAATGAAATTGAAAGAAGTAAGTCGGGGTAGTAGAGAGTAAGCATGCCGATTTACGACAATACAATCGCTGTCACACATCTTACACCAGTCTGTACGTTCTCACCATGCTATAAAAAGAAAGCAAGTGGCTTTCCAAGCTTTTTGTCCCGTGTTCTTGCATTGTGTTAACATATGATGGTTGTTGCTTCTCATTTAGTGTTGGCCTAAGACATCTGATTTAGAAAAAAACTTCACATCGAAGCTTGGCAAGGAAAAACTTTTTTTTGTTGTCTCCATGCTGGCAACACTAATTAATAAAGTGTTAACAGACTTCAGAAGCAAAATCAATGCTTTAAAGGATAACAGAATCCCATGTGCCAATACTGCAAGACATGAAGCTGTTCATCCCATCTTTGAAGTTATCACACATAAATGTTCCAGCAAGAATGCTCAATGAAAAGAAGACGCATCTTGGCATGCCCTCGGAGCACGTTACGGCATAGTGAATGCATACAAGTTTTTCTTTCAGTGTAACTGAAAGCTGTCATGGTTTATGTCCTCCTCTCCCATATTGCTGCCTTCCAAGAGATGGTGTCGTAAAAAGTATTGCCTGCTATTACACTCAGCCGCACCAACAAATGGATGACTGTGCACACATGTATGCTGTGCATATATAAACTACAATTTTATAGTACAAGAAAATTAAACTTACTTCCAGTTGTTATAGCGTTCACATACGCACACAGAAGCATCACAATCATCAGCTAAATTCAAAAACTCCCTTGGAAAGGTTCCATCTCTCAGCGCAGCAGCCAAGTCGGGCTAAAAAAAAGTTAAAAAAAATGGTTATAGCAAAGGCAAGCAATAAATGGGCTGTGGTCTCTAAACTATTTAATTATCAAATTTCTATTGCAATAATAAATGCTAAAAGTTTTTTGTTTCTCATAGCCACTGTCTCCATTTATTCTCCGCTCCTTTATTCTAATATGTTTGAGTATCCAGAAAGTCACAGAAAGGTAACAGCAGTTTGGAAATGAAAAAAAAAAACAATAACGAGAAATAAACTTCCCTTAACCTGAATGAAGTATCCAAAATTATGACCCTCATAATAAAGCCTATAATACGAAATAACATGTGTCCTTCATGCAACTTTTTATGAACTTACGTCTTCCCTGAAAAAGGCATCTGGTGAGCAAAAGGCCTCTGACTTCAACCTTTCCCATACAGCTTCCTGAAATGCAATGCAACAAATTTATTTCCTAATTCACAAAACTAGAAAAAAAGTACTCTTAGAATAATAGGCGTACTTACTGGTCCAAAGATATCCACAACATCTTTGTTATCATCTGCTTCTGCAAAATATGTAGTAAAAGACCGTGTTATTAAAGGCAAAATTACACAGATGTTGATAGTGCAAATGCTAATAATATAACAGTTCTAGGTTATCCTATATGTATCAAGGTAAAGAATATCCCACGAATTGGCTAAACTTTGATGGTTCTAAACCAACTGCTGCAGCCCAGTACTATGATAAATATTACTTTGTAAGTTGGCCATGCTGTGCATTTCGATAAATTTATTTTTTATGTAATCATTTATCGATAGTGCACATTCTGCCTACCATTTCTGAAGCCTTTAACAATGTGTCTACCAGTTTGATTTTTCCAAACTCCACGAAATTTATAGGTTTTTCCTGACGATTAAAAGCAAATTCCATAACCATTATGTCTTTTAGAAAAAATCTGCAACTTCACAAATTTTGAAGTGATAAATTCTGAAGTGATAAAAAAAGTGAATACCAGACATTCATAAAAAATGCAAACCATGGCGTTTTATGACATTTCCTTGGCTGAAAGCCTTCTTTACAGTGAATAAAATAATAAAAGACAATAACTGTATCTACTAACAGGAAAACTTACTCATTTGCATTGGCAAAAGTGCTACTGCCTCAAAGATTCAACCTCTAGCTGAAGCTTGGAGACTCGAAGCTGCGAGTCTTTAATCAGCTTTTGTTCTTTTATTCAAGCTTCTTCACAAGAGCTGCAGTCCTTTTCTTTTTCCTTTCAGCATCTGATAAGTCCAACCATTCTTTATTTTCCCTCTCCAAGTCTTCTTACCTGATATAGGCATTTTGAATCATGTCGATCATCTTGTCTGCGACATCGACGTTTGCGACTACACCCGCGGTAGACACCTCATTGTACACTAACCTTTATGCCATAAATGACTCCTCCTTCATATTTTCCACAAAACATTTCTTATTTAAAGGGACTGTCTACCACTCTGAGAAATTTTTCTGATTGTAACGCCAATGAAAAGATCTTTCATCACATTGGCGGCAACAAGCATGCTTTTGTGCCAGAAAAAAAGGAATCATAATTTTAACTTGATGTTGAAAGTCAATAAAAAGTGACCACTAGTGTCAACCAACAGCAAATGTGGTCAATCTTGACAATCTATTGGTAGGACGAAAAATTGTCGCAGGTAAAATTATTTTGCTTAAAAACAAACATGTTTAACTTGAACTTGTATTTTATGCACTTGAGGGAGCTTTGTATTGAGCCAGATACCAATTTTTCTGACGCACTTTACCTATCGACAATCGGCTCAGACGGCTCGCAACGAAGTGCCGCTGCGTGTATTTGTATACGCGCCCCCGACTGCCTATCCAAACTTGCGCGGGACGGTGCTGCCACCTATAGCCCGATCTCGCCGTGAATATGAATGCCAAATCCCTGTCATACTGCCCAACTATAAAGGCTGCTTTCAGCAGCAAAACAATGTAATATACAGAGGCGATCAAAATTCTAGGAGACCTCAGGAGCTATTGCCGGGCAGCACCTCAGCGTCTTCTCATAGCTCCAGAGAAGCTCGAGAGTGCACACTCCGCAAGCGCATCCTTTTCTATTTTCCAGCCTACTTTCGCTTCCTTCAACTGCGTGCACACTCGAACTCCAGAAAAATCACAAGGCGTCACTTCCGTTGTCGCCTCAGAAGCACTGAGCGATAATATCGTGACAAAAGTAAGTTGCAGTGGCAGTGCTCAGTGTACGCCACTTTCGTGCCTTGGTTTCGACGCTTTGCAGCGGCGAAAACACCCACACAGCGTCAGTTTTGTTAATCGAGAAATGTGATAAGATTACCGAGCAGTGCTGTCTGGAACGCCTAGAACGAAGGCTAAGAAGCAGCCCGCACAGAGCACTGCCACTACAAGTGGCCTATTTTGGTCACGATATCATCTCTCAGTGCTTCCACAACGACTGCAAAAGTGACATCTTGCGATTTTTCTGGCGTTTTGCTGTGTGCACATTTGAAGGGAGTTAAAGCGCAGGCTGGCAGGTAGAAAAGAATGCGCTTGCGCACTGTGCGCTTCCGAGCTTCCCTGGTAGCCGTAAGAAAGGGCCGCATCGCTATTCGCCAAGGGCTCCCATGGTCCACAAAATTCTGATTGCCGCTGTACATGTCTTACTATACACAAGTACACAATAATGTGTGGCCAACTAAAGAAAAGAATCTATCAAATCAGTCATTTCAATTCGCTGTAGACATGACATGCCAGATAGAAATGTTGGAGCTCAGCAGTAATGGTATTTTTTAAGGGTTCATTTTTTAGGAGTTCATGAAGTAAATTGAAATGAGTGGCATGTAGGGACGATGATCATGCCAATGAATACTGTGAAATACCGCACAAAATTAAAAACTTGTCATTGTTTTTTCACTTGTTTGCCACTTCAAGCAATGTGTACTGCTGGCTGTCACAAAATGTTACGGGCCTTTGTGTAAAAAAAAAGGCAATATTAAACAACAAATCCCGCTATCATACATCTTGATACAAACCTGCAGTGGCACCAGTGTCAAGAGTCCTTGAGCAAAGAATGCACTCATGCACTTCCTCTCTTGGCCCACATGATGACTTTGACAATGATGAATCCATAATGATATCCTAACATGAAGAAAAATATATTTTCAAGGTGAATGCACTGAAAAAACAGATTTATGGAAAAGCTCTTGTGTGGTTTTGTAAGACCATTCCCACACAAACGAAGGGTTATCAAAATGAACAGTATTCCCAAGGAGTGTGGCTGAAAAAAAAAAAATCAAGCAATCTGTGCTGATTTTACACTACCACACAGTTTCAAAACATTTATTTAAATTATTCTACGACATCACACACAAGTATTGGTATACCAGTTGTACAGCGAAAAAGAAATTTCTAAAGGGACACTAAAGGCAAATAATGACACAGTGAAAGATCAATGTTTGAGAACATTTAAAACGTCATTATTATCAACTGCAGTGATATTAAGGTAAATGTACGATACTATGTGCATCACGAGTGGGACATTTTAAAGTTATCCCAATGATGTCACAGGGTCTGACAACAATGAACCCCTAGTAATCAAGCCAGTTGCAATAAAAAAAAGGTACCTTCTATGCATTACAACATGTAATTAATAAAATGCTGCTCCTACGTTATTAATGTTTGATTCATAGAAAAAAGAACCGCGTGGCGTTACCATAGTCAATGGCACAATAGGTTCGAAAGTTCTGTTTTCGCTTGGTTAGGCTACATAGGTGGTGCAATTTAACGGTCCCGCTTTAACCAGGCAAACAAAAAGTTTTTATTGCAGAAATGGTGTGAATGTGTTGCAGCAATCTAAATACAAATGGGTTATCTTTTTAATAATTTTATTTTCCTCTAAAACTCTGGGAAAACACAAAACAGACTTCAAAATGTGGTTATGACTGCGGTTGCACAAAGCATCACAGGATGTCAACATCATCGTCCAGTAACCTTTCATTCTACAACCTTTTGCCTATGTCGACGACCGCGCAGTAAAGGTGGGCAATAAATGGATAGCAAAAGTATGCATCGTCTGCTACGGTACTTCCGATTCTAGGCGTATTCCTTCACTGCTTCAAGGTGCCTGTGCAGTGTGATCGGGGAGAAAACGTGCAATTCTGTGACGCTTTCGCTGCCGCTTGTTCAATGATTGTGTTCTTTAATTCTTTTTTTTTGTGAATAGAAAAATTCTATTGCATAATCTGCATCACTAACTGTCAGTCAAATTTATGGGAACAGGTGAGTGCGTAAAAGGCCCACAGAACAAAACGGCCTCTCAAATAATGGTATCGTGAGACATAAAGCTATCGAAGTTGCTCATGAAGCAAAGATGACTAGCATGTTATGGCATCTCTGTATGTCAGACTTGCAAGCATGAAGTGCCAATAGGGTGTGTTAATAGTCAAGAGTTCGACGGAATCCCGTCTGGTCGGGGACAAACATAGTGTAAAATAACAAAAACGCTGACCAAGGTGAAATACACAAAACTTAAAAAGATGTTTCAGCTCCCCACACGGGAGCCTTGTTCACAGTGACCGCAAATGGCATAGTGCCTTTTGAATTCTTTATTCTTTATTCTGACCGCAAATGGCACTACGCCTTTGCGGTCACTGTGAACAAGGCTCCTGTGTGGGGAGCTGAAACGTCTTGTTTTGTGTATTTCACCTTGGTCGGCGTTTTTGTTATTTTACACCAGGGTGTGTTAATACTCTGACTCATAGCCTTAAAGGCTATGTTGCAGATAATTTTGAAGTGTGGATGATCTTGTAAGCATTGAAAAACAATGTTCAAGTGTGTGAGGGACAACACCTCATCATATAAAGAGATATTAAGAGGCATAAAAATAAAAAGCCAGAGAACTATAAGCGCATTCGATTTAGAGCATCCTAAACAGTATACTACGGCCATTCGCTATATTGAGCCCGGAACGGTATCTTTACAACCAAAAAGTAAATAAATAATTTTACAGGTACGTAAGAAACGTGAAAACAATTTAATGAATATTTCATGATCCTATGATGTACAGAAAATTTTGTATGTGACAAAAGTCACAAAACATGAGCGATTATAGCCTTTGCTGCAAAACAACAAGCATGTAACCGTAGGTGCAAGCCTCTTCAATGAAAAAAATGACTGCTCGCACCATTTTTACTATCTCGTAGTGACTGAATTTGTTATTCAACCATGCTGCATTGTACTCCAAAGTATTATGCAGCAATTTGTAAAAAAAAGGGCACCACGAGAGCAAGGTGGAACACACAAAAAGCGCCGGCACTGGCAAGAATGCCCACATGGCATCACGGCATCTCGAACCGGTCAGTGCAGACGGGTACCGTAGCCCTGAATCCTATATTGGGCAAGGCAACTGCTACTTCAGAGAGGCCCGTTTTCAGGCGGGTGACTTGAAGTGCGCTAACACCGTGTGGACCACTGAAACGCAATTTTATATCAAAATAAGCATTTCCTTGGCACAAAAGTAGCACTACCGAGATTTTCTGTTTGCTATTTAAGCCATCAACGACAACTCAATATTAGCCTTTGGTGTCCCTTTAAGCAGTGTGTCTGATTTTACACTACCACATAGCTTCACAAAATTCATTGGGATTATTCTCAGACATCACACATCAGCATCAGTATGCCACCTATAAACAGTGAAGATTTATTTTTAAAGTGGTTACTAGTGAAAAAAAAAAGTAAAAAAAAGCCATTTAATACAATCAGCATCAGTATGCCACTTATAAACAGTGAAGATTTATTTTTAAAGTGGTTACTAGTGAAAAAAAAAGTAAAAAAAGCCATTTAATACGCTATCATTATATGGAAACTTAAGAGGGAGCCTGGTCTTCAAGACAGCATGATAAGCCCAGTTACATTATAGATTCACCGAATAAGCAGTATGAACTATCTGCTTTTCTGCATAAACATTACAAAATCGCACAAATTTCAAATAATCCATTGTGGCCAGTGAATAGCCAATTACAGAAAACAAAGATCATAGTGCCATTTTGAAAACAAGGCTCAGCAAAGCAGAACTGGTAGATTAGTCTCTCTCTTGAACATGTACACACGCTGCACACATGCAACTGATGACACAGATTTAGTGATCCCACTTAACATTCCTTTCACATGAAAGAGACTAACTATCCTAGTAAAAATGAGAACATGTACTGTTTTATTCAATACTAATTACAGAGGTGGCAGTATCTGTAGCTGTTGCAAGAATAGTGCTTCAGCAAAATTTGACATTGCTAAGCTTTAGAGAGTGAAGAGGTCAGTTTTCACTCTCCAGAGCTCCAGGCCATCACTTCAGCAGAAAAACAACTGAGCTGCAACGACAGCTCTAGTGATGTGTGCTATCATCTGTCTTATGAAGCAGTAAAAGAAAAAAATCTACATACATGCTCTCTCCCAAATATTAGTGCCAATGGAGCCTTAAAATTATACATACAAACATTCTGAGCCACTTCACAATAAAAACAAGCAAGAATTATTAAATATAATTATCATAAATTTTGCACAGGCATACCCAAGCCTTGAAGATAGTTCTGCCCTCATGGACCATGTGGCCCATGAAGAGCTCTGAATGAATCAACCATTTTTTGGCTTTTTAATGAGGATAAAAAGCTCAAACACGCATGTATTTTGTACATTCTAATGCAATAAGAATGCAGTCATAATGAATAGAAATATATTGTTCCCTAATTATCATACCCCATCAGATTTACCTTGCTTAAAAAATCCCACATTTTAGGACGAAATATCTATGCTGAGAAATGTGCTTATTAACCAGATCAAGATGGTGGCGGTGGTGTTAAGTAGAGCTCTGATGAAGCTCACACCTTGAAAAACAGTTTTTGATATTTCTACCAAATTAGCCACGACCTTGAATGACAAAACATTCCCTATAATGCTACCTTGGCTGACAAAGCATTATGTGACCAAGCATTTCTGCGTTGTAAAAACACATTCTGAACATGTAAAAAATTCTTGCAGGTTTGCATGTTTAAACCAATAAAAGGACCTTTCAAATTGGAGGAAATACTAATGATATTTTTAATATTTTCCCAACGCTTCCGATCTATGATTGTGACAACACACCAAAACAGATTTCAAGGCTTTTTTTTTGCATATTTTGGCTTTACTGACTGAATAAAGGTTCTCGAAAAATTTCATGATATCCAACTCCTTTAGAACACGATATAATGCAACTTCGCTGTTAAATGATTATGTAGGCCCTAGCAGATACTCTCCAAATTTGCTAAGTCGTAACAAGTTTACTTCCAGGCACTGGCAGCACCAGCCTGTTTTTTTCAAGATCGAAAAGCATTTTGCAGCAATACTAGTGTTTTTTTATATTGTGGAAGGGCGCTTTGTAATATATAAGAAATATTTTTCATTCATGTCTCTTCAGAGCTCAATAGACTTCTGGAAAGCAAACATGACTTTACAACTGAGAAGCTTGTTTTATAAATACACGTGCCAGAGAGTTAATTTAAAATGTTAATTCGCAAATATTATTACTAACACACAGACGGAGAAATTTACTTCGACGTATGCATTACCAATACTAGCAGGTCATTCTATCATTTATTTAAATAAAATTATACATTTACAAGACTACTAATGAAAACAGATAACATAATTGGGGTTTTATGTCTCAAAACCATGATATGATTATGAGGAATGCCATAGTGGAGGGTTTTGGATAATTTCACATACCAGGGCTTTCTGTATCTAACCACCCGGGCCACAGCATTTCACCTTTATCGAAATGTGGTTTCTGTGGCCAAGACTTAGTCCCGCGACTTGGGGGTCAGCAGTCCAGTGTCATAAGCACAAGACCACCAATGCCGGTAATAGTAACAAGAGAAGAGTCTGGAAGATTGGAACACTTTTTACAATTTTACTTTTAGTTCTGTTAAACTTGAATGTACAACCATGTTTTATTCATGACAATACAGATCCAATAAAGCTGCTAAACTTCTGAAATGCACTGGTTCCTAGAACTCCTGGTGCAGCTTAAAAACAATTGTTTGTGATGGCTAAAATCGGTCCCATTCAACTGCCTCGTTGGGTGGACTGAGACATCACTTGGGAGG